TACCACTACTACCACTACTACCACGACTACCACGACTACCACGACTACCACGACTACCACGACTACCACTACTACCACTACTACTACTACTACCACTACTACCACTACTACCACTACTACCACTACTTCCACTACTACCACTACTACCACTACTACCAGTACCACCACTACCCCACTCTACCCCACTACCCCACTGCCCCGCTGCCCCAGTACCCCACTACTCCACTACCACTACGATTGCCGCTACCACCGCCACACTTCCAAAACCACTACTACGACGACGACGGCGACCACGAGCACGTCCACTGCCACTGCCACGGCCACTACCACTACCACTACCACTACGACTACGACTAGTACTGCTACTGCTACTGCTACTGCTGCTGCTACTACTACTACTGCTGCTGCTGCTACTACTACTACTACTACTATTACTATAACTACTACTACTACTACTACTACTACTACTACTCCTACTACTACTACTACTACTACTACTACTCCTACTACTCCTACTACTACTACTACTACGACGACGAAACTATTAGGACGACTACAGCTCTTCCCTTGGTGAGCAAAAGTAAGAAAGAATAGCAATAGAGCCTGAGAGTGCTTGCTCACGGTTGCTTCTGCTTTGCAACTTCGGAGAGCCATGGACCGCGTACGAGCGGCAGGCAGGTCATGCCGGTACCCTGACTGAGAGTGGGCTGATGTTGGTCTCGATGATGTTTTAGATCTACATGGGTTGCTCAAGTCAAGAAGCAGAAGTTCGCCCGCCCGGATTGATTACGCATCCATGATATACCCCTGATGCCCTTAAAACTTCTGAAAGCCTGAGAGACGCGACTCAGAGAACGTGTTTCTGACATTGTGACATTGCGAATAGTAAGCGCCCTGGGCAGCTGGAGCCCAGAGCAACAAAAGTGTCAACCGACCAGCCTTTCAGGTTCGATGCCTGATCATTGAACGAATTTAGGAAACCGCACCCCTAAGAGAGCGTCCTCACCCCAAGACAGCCACAAACCCTTGTGCCGCCCAAATGCCAAAAAACTTCGTGCACCAAGGACTTGGTGGAGAGACACAACCGACCCGATGCTGCTCACGAGCCCCTTCTTGGAACGGCAATCTCTCCCCAAGGCCGATATGATCAGGGTCCGGTTTTGCGGTAGTCCGAAAGAGTATTGAACGGCTCAGAAGGCACGTTCACCACGCAGCCAGACAGGGACGCTTCGAAACAGCATAAACTCGCCTTTGTGACGGCGTCTCGTCACTGCCCAGTAAATAGTCCGCCAGCTAATGAAAGATGCTTCACTTTGGCTCCAAAGAATTGTCACGCTTGTGCCCTAGTAATTTAGTAATACAAGCGACTCTAGCTCAAGAACTCGGAGGGTTCACCCAACTACCTCAACAGGTTTGTGGGCACATCGCCGTCACCACTAGATATGACTGACATGCGCTCGAAAACAGACTCAGCATACGAGGTCGACTCTCTCATGTGGGATATGATATGTTATGACTATGGGCAGCTTAAATGCGAGACTAAGAAAGCGTTTGCCAGCTTCAGCAGGTGATGTTCGCAGGAAACCACATGCGATTCGGATTTGGGAGTTTTTAGACCTTAACTAATAACTTGCTACAGATGTGAGGAACATGTGGCACATGTTCATACCAGAGCACGCGAGGCATTGTACACTCGACTGCGGGATACAAGCAGGATCGCCCTCGCGAGCTTTCAGAGTGTCGTGTATTTCTTAGGACGATTCCTTGTCGTATCAAAGAGCCTATAGCCTGAGTGCTCTGAACCAGGTGCTGAATTTCTACAATATTTGGTGGGCGGTGGACCACTGGATCTGCACCCACTGGGATGACAGAAACAAGGATCGAGACAGAATGGTGGCCAACGTTCGACTAGGTCTGGCTCTCTTGATTCTGGCGTTTTTCCTGTCTTTGCCAGTCCTCTACCGTGCGCACGCATTGAAAGTGGAAGCCGCCAGTGCATTGCTCATGTCTGCAGCGATGGATCAACTATGTCGACATGGGATCCCTGAGTGGGTCGCAACGTGGCGGCTATATTGGCGGGTCCAGCTTTTGCTGCTTATGACTCTCAAGCTGCATCCGCTGAGCCTTTCTGCTGCGGTGGCCTTCCTGATTTGGAGATCTTTCACGACAATGTTCCCGGACTCTTGGGCTTAAGCCCCAAGTCTGAAAGAACACCACCCGAATGCAAGCACATGCCTGGAGCACCCATGACCACCCCGCAGTCCTTCTAAAGAAGTGGGCAAAAGTCCGCCTAAGAGTGGCTGATGGAGACTCATCTAAAGGAGGACTTCCTCATGAATCAGTCGTGGCGCGAACCTGGCCTTTTCGCCAATGAATCATGGCAGCTTCGATGTCGCTGGAAGTAGTTTGTGGTTTTGCAGTTTGTCCCTGCGTAGCTTTGGGGCATGATTCTTGAGATTGTGAGCACCTGAGCGGACCTCAGCACAAAGAGCGACCGTAG